ATTAAAAACCACAGCGAATTCCACTTTCTCTAGAAATCGTATTGATTCACCACACGGAGTGTATACAATACGGTGAGTCATACAAAACAAAAACTTGCTAACTTAGGGTAATGGGGATCCACCAATGAGATGAAAATCACATTACACTGACGTTTCTTAAATGTTTTATGATACATGGGCATGGGTGATGGAGATGCAAAGATTCAACCAATAATATCAAAGCTAAAGCAACTTGGGGAGCTACATACTAGGTAGGGCCTAAAGCTGTTTCCAAAGAGTTGAGAATTGTTCATCCGCAAAGCACCATTCCCTTAATTTCTTTTGAAGATCATTTCTCATATTCGCTCAAGACTTTGTTTGAAGACAAGATGTGTGTTGGGATCATGGAAAGGTGCTGATGCATGGTAATACTGTGCAAACATAGGACGATATAGTACCTTCCCGCCATGAAGTGTTGGCGTTGAATGGGGTATAGGAGAAAAGGCCATACACAGATTAAAATTCACCCAATGGTTTTAACTGATTGAATTGGTAAAACTGATTGATTGATTGTCAATAAGTCACAAGATTGTCAAGATTGTCAAAAAAGTCACGCAATGGTTCTAAAAACTGAGAAAATTACAATGGGTCCTATGTATAGAAAGTATTGAAATAATGTGAAAACAGACGTAGAAATTTCAAAGATTTTTTTGAAAGGGCCACTGGGCCATCAAAGACCACGGGGACAAAAGTTTAAAAGATAAAGAACTAAAACCAGTATGGAAACAGCCCCCTATACTAGCATTAAAAAGACATGAAAACATTGGAGACCTAGTAACCCGCAATTAGGGAAACATAGATGACATACCCTCCTCTCCCCCCTCCCAGAGTTATGAATCTGTTCTTAACCCGGCAGATTTGGAATTCTTAGTACTTACTCTGCAAACTTTGTGGTTGTATAGATTAAAAAATCAACGATAGTGGATTTTGTATTTGATTGTCTTAATTTAAACTTCGATTTAATCCTCTAGGCACTTTTGCAAGTCTATGTTTCAACTGTTAATTGGCAAACTGAAACCAGTGAGAACCAAATTACATATAACAATGTTTCAGGGTTTGGTGCGCGAATGATGAGAATGGTTACAAAAAATCGATCAAAACAAACAAATAGCGCTCCACCTATGGACATTAGTTCTAAGATTTAGGTTGTTTTGTAAGGGTAGTCAAAATTGCTTCAATGACTGCATTTTCCAACGAACTAGAATCATCATAATTCGAAAAGTCACCCACCTTTTGTGGCAAGTAACTTTCGTGTACGTTAACGCCTCAGGTAGTAATTTTTGTGTACTTGTTTATTGCGACTCAACCTACCTTGGCAAAAATTTGTTTCTATTCTGTTAAACGACTAGATGAGTTATATTTTACTAGTCAGAAAAGTTTAGAACGTTTAGACATTTTTTTCCTACCAAATATAAGAAAAAACCAGTCAATTCCTTTTTTCCTCTAAAATAGCTTCCAATTCAAAGTTTATGTTAACTTTTTTATCAATATCCGGCGTTTTTTACTTCGAGCAATGTAAAAATCATACGATCCTCTATCTTTCAACCTTTTCCCATTGTTGTTGTAGTTGTCCTTCATGTCGTTTGACCCCTGATGATGTTATGAACCTGACGTCTACATTCAGCTCTATTGTTAGTGTCTTTGTTGAGCTGATAAAAATTTCTTGTTGTCATCGTCTTAATGTTGTCAAACCACTGTGTTGCAGGTCTTCCTCTACCTCTTTTCCCTTCAATTTTTCTTTGCATTATCTGTTTTTCTAAACTGTTGTTTGCTCTATTTATGTGGCCATAAAAGGTTAATTGCCTCTGATGGTGTTGAAGGATGATCTTTCTGTTTTTATTTGGCCTAATACCCATTCATTCGTTCTTCTAGATGTCCACGGCACCCTTAGGAGTTTTCTCCATACCCAATGATCAAAGGCTTCAATCTTTTTCATTTCTGCTTTTCGTATTACCCATGTATCACTTCCATATGTAACAACAGGAAATGCTTCGATTATTCTTATCTTGGTATTTAGTGTGATTTTTTTGTCTTTCATTATCGTTGTCAAATTGGTCATAGCCTTCCCTGTACTACCTCGATGGATTCCCAATCTACTTCAAAGTACTTTGGTTATTTCTGCCGTCGTCATTACCTTTGTTTTTTTTTAATTTAGTAGTAGCCCTTTTTCCTTGCTTGCTTTCTTAACATTTCTGATAAGTTCTTCCAGATCTTCTTTGGTTTCGGCAATCAGGGTCGTGTCATCTGCATACCTTGAGTTATTAACGAGTCTACCATTTACTTTTATTCCGATGTTGTTTTCATATAGCCCTGCGTTTCTCATAATAATTTCACCATATAAATTAAGTAGGTATGGAGATACAGCCTTGTCTCACTCCTTTACTGATTTCAAACGATTCTGTTGGCCCATACATTGTTAGTACATGCGCTGCTTTGCTGCTTACGTCAAATGCTTTGCTGTAATCAATAAAACAAAAATATATTTCTTTCTTTACTTCGCGTACCTTTTCCAATATCCATCTGATGTTTGCAATTTGGTCTCTAGTTCAATATAAGGTGTTAGTCTTTTCTGGATTATTTTCAGAAGTATTTTGCTCATGTGAACAATTAAGGATATTGTTCAATTATTTGAACATTCTCTAATATCGCCTTTCTTTGGCAGCGACAAGAAGACAGATCTTTTCCAATCTACTGGCCATTCAGTGGTCAAAGTTTGTCAGACTTTTGTTCGCATTAGGCAGTTTTCTGAGATGTTTTATGTTATCTAGCACGTTATCATGTTGTCATTTGTTGTCGGAAATAACGATTTCACGCGAGGGTTAAATGATTCTGCATTCGATATAAATCCATTTGAAATGGACGAACAAAGCTCTGATAACATAATTTTCGCAGCAACCGCAATTTCAAACGCTATTTCAGTTATCAATCAACAACAAAGCTCCGTTAATCTGGCAGTAACCTCTTTTAAACAGCTACAAAATAAACTTGTGATTTATCGTCATCGTAAGAGAAGAAGAGAGAAAAGAAGTCCACTCTTCTGGTCCTATCCAAGGCCTGATTCATCGTGGTTGGAGCATACAATATTTGATGAAAGAATACCCAATGAAGAATTTAGGAAACGCCTTCAACTTTCGAGAGAAACATTCTGGATGCTTGTCAGAATTTGCGAAGTGAACGTTACTCGAGAACAAACACCATTCAGAGCCAGTCTTTCTCCTGAAAAAGTCATAGCTGTAGGGCTTTACAGACTTGCCCATGGGGCATCGTATCAGGTATGTGCAGACACTTTTAACGTAGGCAAAACAACTGTACATGAAGCGTTCTGCGACGTAGTATCTGTTTTGAATGCCGTGAAAAATAACTTTATAAGGTTTCCTGTAACATTGGAAGAAAAAGTGAAAACAATAAACACTTTCAAGGACCGATCCAAAATGCCGAACGTGCTTGGGGCCATCGACAGAACACACATTAAGATCAAGGCCCCTAACGAAAATAAAAAAGATTATTTCAGTAGATACCAGCGACACGATGTTGTGTGCCAGGGATTGTTGACGATGATATGAAGTTCTTAGACAAAGTTGTTGGCTTTCCCGGGTCAATGCACGATGCAAGAGTGTTAAGAAACACAAAAATCAGTGAACTTTTAGATCGTGGATTTGAAGTCGTGGATGGTTAAACCATATTCAGACAGCACATCTGATTCAGTTGAAAAAAAATTCAACAGGGAATTGTCAAGAGCACGAGTTGCTGTTGAATGTGCCTTTGGGGTTTTGAAATCAAGATTTCGCATACTCCTGAATGGATGCGACGATAAAGTCAAGACTGTTAATCAGAGTATCATAGCTTGTTGCGTACTGCATAACTTTTGTTTGCAACATGACGATGTCTGGCAGCAGGGGCGGACTGGCTGGTCGGGCTATTCGGGCGATCGCCCGAAGGGCCGGTCTGTTTAAGGGCCGGTTGATAAAAGTGCAAACAAATTGGCTTAAAAAGTGAATGTGAGGCAAAAAAGTATACCCACGCGTTGATCTGTTTGCCTTGAATTTTCAGAGACTTTGTGGGAAAGAATAAATATACACGCAAGTACTCCAAAACCATTAAAATTATGAATAAATTTAAAAGTCCAAAAATTAGCGTTCACTAATCAATTTGCTCTGTGATGTGAAGCAATGAAGAGGACATACGTAGAACAAGGGAAGAGCAAGAAGACTTCAACCGAAGGTGGTGCACAGAAATTTCGTGAGGAAAAGCTGCGAGACTTAAAAAAGGATTCAGCTACGATACAAAGCTTTTTTTATCAGGCAAAAGCCACAAACGTCACAAAAAACAGCAGGGTCTTGCTCTTGCTCCTTTCAATAAACTCATACAAGTTTTTGCAAGTTTATTAGGCCTATACTATCACAAGTCAAATGCACCCCCGCCCCACAGGGGTATGGTGCTACACGATAAAATTTCAACAGGGGTTTTCTTTTTGGGGTCAGAAATTGACAAATCGATTTATTTGGGCTGCTGAAAATCATTGTGGTTTTCCGGAGGATTAGAAAAATATTTGTCACAAGTGGAGTGTGATAGAAGCTTTCCCACTTTAAATATATAAAGAACAGATTACGTAGTAATTTTTCGCAGCCAAACCTGGAGTCCTTCATGTCAATGTTCTTAGAAAAACACCTGTTAGATGACATCCAGAACGATCACATTATCAACATATGAGTTACTATATTTAGAAACAAAGTCAAACCAAGGAGTTAAAATTTTTGTTTAGTCAACAAATGACATATTTAACATGTTTTGTTAAGCATATTCTGTTAACAAGCATTCAACCATGCACAAAATTACTGAATTTAAAAACTTGTTTTCCTTACAGACTAACATTTACTTGTTTTTTCCGAAGAGTTTTTTTTATTTGCTATTATTGTGGGCCGGTTTGATCAAAATTTGCCCGGGCCAAAAAAATTAGTTAGTCCGCCCCTGTCTGGAAGGATGATGAAGCAGAAGACCAGCCAATTCCTGGTTTGCAATGCTCAAACACTTTTGATGGTGAAGAATTTAGAGAAACATTGAAGCAGTATATAAACAAAACTGTAATAGACAATGAATAAATGAATAAAGCTACAAACAAAGAGTATATTTTAAATGTAATAGATAATGAAAAATGCATAAAGCTACTGGAAAATACTGAAAATGATTTTAAAAACTGTCACTTTCTTCTGATTCGTCTCTTCTTCGTTGTCTCTTTTTCCTGGGGCGTGGACTTGGACGTATATTTTGTTTCTTCCTTTCTTCCCTTGCGTATACCATACTCAATGTTCTTGACATTTCCTGAATTGCAATTGCTTGTAGCCTTGCTTTTTCCTCCATATTTTTTTACTGTTGCCACCAACTCGCGCCCCTGACTTGACATTTCTTCCATCAATGCAATCATTTTCTCTGCCTCCAGCTCTTTCGCAGTTATCTAAAGTCATTACCCAGGACTAATTTTCTCATTACTTTTCCCATTATTTTGAAAAAAAGAAAATATTCCAAATCACCAAGGGTTTTTCAAAATTGTGCTCTGAGATTGTGCAATGTTCATGTTTTTGTGGATTGTCAAAAGAGGTTTTGAGTTGTAGAAGAATTACAAAATTTCTTTCCAAGCACTTTTTCTAATAAACATTCACGAAATCAACAGAAACAAGCAAAATGTCTAAACAGAGAGACAAAATAAAAGACATCTTAATCATTAGCAGAAATTATTTCAGATGGGGCGTTTCTCTATTTCCCGCTTGTCTTTAATCTTTGTCCTAAAATACAAAGAGGAAATAATTCAATAATTGATTGAAGGTTTGTCAATATAAGTTGGTCGTTCTTCATGTATAAGCATTTTGAAATGGACAGCATTTATTGTCTGGACGATACAACTAAATACCAGTTGTTACAAGCAGCTTCCTTGCTTAGCCTTTGAAAGGACAAAATATTTGAAGCAATATAAAACATCTCACGTTTTTGGAAAAAATAATGTCGCCCTTTTCCGGAACACATAAACGTTTTCATTTTCCCACATCAGAAAAGAAGTAAATGTTTAGAGAAAATTTAACATTCAATTTTCTTTCCAAGCTATCCAATCCAACACAATCAAGGGAAATAGGAAACCAGTCTTTGTTTTTGAATGCAAAATTGATTTTCATGCAAAATGTCAAGAAAATTTTCAGATATTGTAACTTTTTCTATATAAAAATCATCTCCCTAACATAAAACAAGTATATTAAAACGGAATTATACGCTTATGAAATCATACAGTCTGAAATACTGAGCTTCAGATTTGGATTTTAACTGAGCAAAAGCTCAAAAGCCATTTGGTCACTATCCAGCGTCTATACAATGAGGAAAGTTGGACCAAAGTACCGCATAAGTTTCCCTTTTATCTGACACCACATCCCCATCGACTCCACTCAACGTTTTCTGGTGAGTAATTTCCAACTAACCTTAAGTAGCTTGCACTTCTCCTCTCACAGAAAGTGAATGCAAATACCATTAAACCCTGCAAAATTAGACATTGTGGACATCAAAAACATTGCTTTAGAAGGCTTTCAAGGAAATATCATTAGTTGATACTCCAGTAAACGAAATCATGACTATTAGAAGTTATGTTACAGAGAGGAAAGCAGTTTCTTTTTGCTGCTGAATTTCTAGATTCAGTGACCAAAATACATTCCATTACAATTCTATCTTTTTTGCTAAAGAGCCTTTTTGCAATTTTTATCAATTACTTGATTTATGAATAAGAAATGAATCAATAAACAAATAAATGAATAAATAGATAGATACATAGATAAATAAATAAATAAATACTATGTATGAATAAAGCAAATGTGTAAAATCATAAGAAGAAATTGTTGGTTTCTAGCGAATTGCATAATTATTGTTGTATTTAACCAGAAGAGATGCATTATGATTTTTATGTAAAGGACTTACAACAATTGTCTGGAAGATTCCAAATATCTAAGGATAAATGAATATTAGTAAGAAACATAATAATATATTTGAAAAAAAAACATCAAACTAACAACTCTCCCCATCCCCCTATTATGTAGCAGTGTGATCAACCTCGACAAAGACAAAATAATTTCATCCTGGGGAAGCGACGAACGCTTGAAATTCAGAAATTACTGCTCCAACGCAAGTTATTCTTGCAATACCATTATGATTTGTTGAGATATAGTTATTTCATAACTTCATCTCTGCAGATCGGTGTTCTCAACTTAATTTCCTAATTGAATTCGGTATTACAATTGTTCAGATCCTTGTCTTGCCCATCAGTGACATCAAAATAGTTCTCACTTTTTTCGCTAGATCAAATAAAAAGACAACTTCTAATTTATGCTCAATTATGGCCATCAATGGAAGAATTTAATCCAATTTTGGATAATTTCTACTGTTAGCAGTGGCGGATCCAGACTACCGCCATTACCGCTCGAGCGGTAGTCAGATTATTCAAAAAATTATAGAAACAAGGATCATTTTCATGTTTATCCTACTACTTTAATTAAACCATAGTTAAAAATTGAAACAATTTATTGAAAAGACACTCATCAGCAATTTATTGAAAAGATGGAGAGAAATATCTTTAAACTTTTCTGCTAGATTTTATAAGAAATCTTTTAACTCTGAAAAGAGGGTCGCAATTCTTAAAATTTGGTCTAATAGAAATTTCTGCCCATCGCTAAAGAAGAAACGACTTTAGTGGTCAGAAGATCGCAATGGGATATCGATACGTCACAATTTTTAAGGATTCCGTTATTACTGCTCAGTGTAAATGAGGTATCAGTAGATATTACCGTTGTTGCCCAGGCAAAACTAAAATGTTGCACCAGCAATCCAGACAATGATGCACCTATTGCCATCCTGATGAGAGAAAAATCATAGTTCGATGAAACATGGAAAACAATAAAATTGAGTTTTCACGATAACAAAATTCATAAACAAAGAATGTTTCGTTACAAGTCAGGAAAAAACTGGCATGAGTGTGTCGTCTCATTTCAAATCGAAAATCACCTTCAAAAAATAATGTAGCTATACAAACAATACAATATCATACAATATCATACAATATCATACAATATCAAGTAACAATATAACTTGAAAAGTAAGATAAGACTGTATAAAGAAAGTAAGGACGAATTTCAAAACGACGTTTCAAGCATAGGCCGTTATCAACATGGGATAGATAGCATCGCCTTATCGCTTTCTATCCTAACTTGATAACCAGCTTTGCTCCAAACAAAACGACGTTTACAAAATTTGCTCTTACTGATGTCCTATAATTTTATATCAAATTTAAGTTAAAAAGTAACTAGTCTATTTATATTGTTTATTTATACAGAGACACAAAGTAACAATTTGTGAAGAGAATATTTATATTAATTTTTAAAATTGGCAAAATATATATTTCTAAAAATTTTACCAAATCGATAGATTAAAATAATTCTACAACTTGCTACAAAAAATCAATGTAAGTAAGTTCTAATGATTTTTCCTAAAATTTTGATTTGTAGCAAGGTATATTCGATTATCTCAGATTTAACGGTTGATAAAAGCCTGAAACCTAATGATTCCCTCTTTTTAATTCTCTTAAAAAGTAATATTGCAAGTAAAATGCTGCATTTATTGTCATAGATTTTGAAGGTCCAGTTTCTAAAAAATAATTGAACACCTTGGACATACCCAGTGTGTAATGCCGAGTTGAAGATTGAAGCCAAAGCACTTTGCGTAGAAAGATCTGCCGACATTCCGTATCGTCTATAACGTAACGTGTATCAAAATTGTCAAGGTTTAAATTGTCGCCTTTCTTTTGGGCTTTTAGAATTCCATCGAATGAATTGCCTAGAAAGCGTTGGTTTCCATTATTCAAATATTCTGCACCTTAAAAGCTCAGAAAACGCTCTTCGAAGGTTTTCCATCAATGTGTACTAGTTAGGATACATATTGCAGTATGGAACAGGACGATCTTTGTGTGCAGCTACTACAGAGTTTCCTGCTTAATACGACTGTCAGGTAACTTTTATTGAGGATGCAAATTTCGAAAGTTTAAAAATGACTTCTTAAACAGTTACAATAAGACAGAAATTTTTGAAATTTTAAAAATCTAAGTTCAGGAAATTTATGAAATCAAACTGTAATTATACCTGTTGTTACTTAAAACAAAATTGCATGGATTCAATATCTAGATTCAAATGATTTTCTTACGTTGCAGACTTGTACATGTCAGATAGTGCTGGAACCATGTACAATGCCAATCCGAGGCCTGCTATTGCCAAAGCTACGCAATTTAGCCACAATGCACTTTGAAAGAAAAATCACATAATTAGTCTGTGTCGAATTGTCACCCCGTGCAATGTTCATGTTACAACTAACCTTTTAACGGACTCCTTTATACTTTTTAAAGCTAAATCGGAAAGTAAATGTTCCAATATTATATAGATTATTCCCACCTGTCACGTGACTCACTTATTGCCGCCATGAAGGATCACAACCTAGCCTTGGATACACATAGCAACGTGTTATTTATACCATACGGATTTTGAAACGGGCAGTTTTCTTTGCCGATTTCGAAATAATATATGTTTAGGCTCGTTTGCATATGTACCTAAGCAACTTGCTTGCCTTGCCTTCTTATATTGGGAACAGGGTTTAAGAACTTTTAAGTACCGTTTTCTGACAGATTAGGCGCTTGGATGCCTAGGAGGAGTAGCCGACCTCAGTTAGATCAATCACATTTGGCAAGTTTTGTGCGAAAACTAAATGTGGCAACAGATTTGAAAGGGACAAGAAATTTTTATAAGCTACCAAGAGTTAACACGCATCTTGATAAAAACTCAAAGGTCACAAGATATAGTCAGGATAGTTCTCAAGATGGAAAGAATTTTTGCAAATTGTTATAGAAGTATGAAACTTGTTAGAGAAGCACAGTTTGTTACGCTATAACAGTAGGTGGCAGACCCTTAAGAAAAATGCCCCAAATGCTATCTTTCGACGTGGGTAGTGACCCGATTGGCGGTGTTACAATGCTTGTAATTGTTGGGGAGACGAGCAAGAGAAAGTTTTTTAAAAAGTGAGGCAACCCTCCGTCATGGAGTCAAAGAGCATGCGCACAGAACGAAGTTATTATTACGCATGCTCTCTGAATCCAGGACGGAGGGTTGCCTCACTCATTTGAAGACTTTTGCTCGCTCGTCTCCCCAACAAGTAAACATATCTACTGATGATAATATTGCATTTGGCCACATCCACTTGATTTGATAACCTACATGAATTTACACAATACACCAAAACATAGATGAATCAATCAATTTTGAAGTAAAACTGTCCAAAATGATTAAAAACTTCCTATCTACAACAATAGATTTACAGAAAGAAGGGGATTCTAAAACCAGTTTCTCTTAGGAGCTAGGTGTTATTTGCTGTACTTTTTGCAGTTGTTATTGCTATGCATCTGAAGGTAGCTTTTAGGACACTAAGTGACTGTGCTTATCGAGCAGAATCCTGGTCCTTCTTCTCAATGTGACCACACCTTTTATCTCTACTGATACTCTTGCTCACTCTACTCTGATTCTAATAAATCTTGCTGAGTCAACTATTGCGGTATAATGATATCAGCTTGCTCTAATTTCCGAGTCGTACATTCTAGTGCAACGGGTCTCAATGAACGACTCGGATAACCCTCCACTGCATAAAACACATGATATCAAAATCAAATGTTGTGTTATCCATGCGCGATATAACCAAGAAGTATTTTTTTTCACAAAAAGGATAATTTACAACTGCATATCTTTATCATATTGATAAGAACGTATGCACAGGCACAGGGATATTCAATTGTTTTATACACAACGCTACAATACACTGATACACTTTGCTGGCATCATCCCCTAGGCGCAGGAGTAAGGGGGCATCCAGGTATAAAGGGGCATACTGATTACAAGCCCCGAAATGCAGTACCTTGTGCATTTTCTGATGGGCTAGCAAGGACTCCAATTTCAAAACACAATATACGTGTATATATGCACATCCAAGATCCTCTACGGCATGAGATTATGTAGAACGTCCAGTGGAATTATACCGATGCCTTACTTTTTTTATAAACCATCTTTTATATATGGAATTATTACACAAATTTCACGGTACTGTTGTTTTAAAAGCCATTGTAGAGCCTTTTCTTTACCAAAACCTAAAATTAGGTTCTTGATAGATTCATTTTTGATAGTTCTGTATCCTGTCTTTTTTATCTTGTCAAACTGAGTATCTCTACCAAGTTTCATACTACTATCACAATTTGAAGATTCACCAATATTTTGATTCTTAAACCCCCAAACGTTCGCGTTTATTCAAGTCATATCTAGTCTTGCAAACCCTCTGCACTTTTTAATTAAAGAATTATAAATATTCTTAATAAAAAATAGGTAGTTGACTATATTAATGTATGTCACGGAAGAATGGTCCTCTATGTTAGCATTGCAGTTCTTCTTAGGCATTGCCTATGGGTCTATACGATCAACTTAAGTTTGTCCCTTCTGAGGTTCAAGGAAAGTCACAAAATCTATCAAGCTTACCATTACTGTGGCCTAAGCATAGTTTGAAACTAGCAATACTGTTTGCGTGCAGAGAAGCCGGTACTTAGAATTTTCCCAGATAGGAAGAGACAGCAAACAAGTTGGTTAGGTACATATGCAAACGATCTTAAACAAATCATATTTCGAAATCGGCGATGAAAACTGTCCGTTTTAAAATCCATATGGTATGAATAACGCGTTGCTATGGGTATCCAAGACTAGGTTGTGATTCATCATGGCGGCAATAAGTTAGTCACGTGACAGGTGAGAATAATATACATTTACCTATATATATATACATATATAGAGACGCTTTTCCGTAACTTTTTTGCTATGCAAGGCATGCTCGTTTGACTTTGATTAGTGTGCCGATTTCTATTGCTTGCGGCCACAAAATGACGATGACTCAACGTCGTGAGCAAGCCAACGATCCAGAAAACTATTGTCTCATTACCAGAAGGAAAGTTGGAACAGCTTTTAGCAGAAACAATCGACCCTTTGTGGCATCATGTAATTTAAGATACGGATATAGTTGCAATAAAAGTTTTGATTGGTAAAAATGCATTGCTATTGTCAATTTTGTTGTTGTTTTTCTTCGCATATAAGGAACCTGTGCTCCTACCTTGAAGCTACCTCAAAACGCACTCAAGTTACTGAAATTCCAAACTGAATCCTAAATGCGTCCAGGTAATACTGGAAATAGCACTAAATTAAAGCCACACTACGCACCTTTTATGGTTCGACTTCAAAAAGCAAAAGCTTTGTCGAGGACTTTTACAGACAAGCTATCTAATAGTTCAAAAGCCCGAGCCTTACTTACTACCGATACTTATAGTCAGGGGTCTGGAACTCAGGCTAATAGCTTAACAAACTGAAAAAAATAACCAGCAGAAAAGTAGTTATTCAAAAGAACGTCGACTGTAGCACATGAAACGTAGGGGTTAGCGAACCGGAGTCAAGGGAGGTACGTCCTCGTTTTAGCAAAGCGCTCATTGTTTTACTGGTTCCCTCTTAAGAACCTTTAGAGGGGATTCCATTTTTCTAGGAACCAGTTTCCCTCTCTAGCTCTCCCCTGCCTGGCTTTGCAAACTTCAACTTCCCGAGCTGGGGGGTTTTGCCCGATTCTATGCTCGAAAAAAATACAAAGCAGGCGGATAAATTTCATCATTGACTTTAGACGGACCTGTCGATGAAGAAATTCATCACATCTCTTTTATTTTTGCAACAAATAAATTAATTTTAGTGTACAAAGAAAATTTATTTATTTCGACGTTTTCATAACTGTCTTCAACAGCATCTTAAGAGTACCAGTGTTCTTCGTACACAGCGAAAGGATACCTACCTTCTGAAACCGAATGATGTCATCAATGCCATTATGGAAAAAATGCCATGAAATCTACAAGGTTTCCAAAAAACTGCAGCTTCTTGGGGGGAGATTCCATTTTTGAGATAATGGATCAGAAAAATGTTAAGTGATTACTTCTTGAAAGCACCATGTCCGGTCTATTAACAGTTCGAGAGTTTTCAATATTCTTTACTGCGTGTTTACAATGAAGAAACCATTGAGGATCAGCCGATTGGCTCAGAAACAATTGGTCTATTGTATAGTCTAACAAATGAGAATTTAAATGGCCAGCAAAATGCGTCGGGATATAGTGCAAAAAAACAAAGAATAACTTCGTTTTATCACAGAGAACTATCCAAAGCGCTGATATAGACACCAGAAGTGTGTTTCTAGATATTGTCTCACCTGGGTATTGCCGATATAAATGGTGGAGGGCCAAGCAATGGAAACGATAAGCCATAGATTATGGCACCGGAACAAATAGCATACCTGGTGTCCTGGAATGTGGCGAGAAAAGCAAGTTATTTGAAAAGAAATGTTCACGGTCACTTGAAAATTAGCTGTAAATAGATACTGGATTCATTCATGGGGGCTGCCCCAAAAGGGTGACGGATAGTATACAATTATAACTTCATCGTTGATTATAGAGTCTTTGTAGTCAGTTAAGACCAATCATTAATTTGAATCATGCGCTCTATAGATCTGTCTTTTTGTTATTGATCAACAAATATGTGCTTTAAATGATTCTTGCACTTTATTCTTTATTACACTTGGCAAGATTTAAGAAGGTATTGCGATGCATACCGTTTTCTCGGCTAGCGTTCCAAGAGCAGGTGCCGAAATTGCATAGGCAGCCCCCCAAATCAGAAATACCAATCCAACTTTTACAGTACCGAGATGAAACTGTAAATGGAAATTTATATCTCATGTTAATATTACATCCGATCTTTTTACAGCAATGAAAGAAAATTTTCATTTACAATCGAATGAATTCCTTTAAAGAATTTTAGAAAATCAAGTAGCAGAGACAATAATTGCATTAGCAGAAAAAGACTTGCGATGATAATATAATAGAGTCTCCATGGAGAAGAGCAAATTGATTGGAAATGAAATGTAGTTGTTTATAATAAGCAAAATTCATTATTCTGTTTAATTCTAGGTATGTCTTCTCTGGTTTCTGCATTTGCGAAATGTTTTGGTTGGTAAAAAAAATTGGTTGGCTGAAGACTGTTTGGCTGATGTCAAATCAAACCCAAGAATCTCTTGTTTACTATACAATAAATTTATTCATGTTGCTTTCAAGCTATTGCAGATATTAAGCAAGTCCCCGTCGAATAAAGTGCAAAGCCCCTTCCAAATCAAGCTCAATGGCCTACTTTATATCTTCATGTATTGTCTGTTGCTATGTTTAAAATAAAGATTTATTATTCTTCTATTTTAACCAGCTCTGTCTTTTTTTGTACTTACCGTGTTATTTAGATGTCGTTGAAAAATTGGGTCCAAGAAAGAAAGGACCATCCCAGTGCAAATTGTGATTATTCCTAAGAAAAGATTTGTGAACAAAATTTTGGCAGTACGAAACTTAAGAATGGCTTTGAAAAAATCAAACATTTCACAACATACTACTTAAAGCTTTTTGTCTGACCCTCCCCAGAGTATAAAACGTCAGAGTAAGTGTCGCAAAAAACACGATAGAAAATATATACCCAGTTGTGGATCGAAAAAGGCCAATCAGAAAGACGCAAGCACATGACAGCCAATGTTGGTCAATCAGTGCTGCTTGACTATTGAAAATTACCATTTCGATTTAGTGCCTATTTCGATCTACAACTAGGTATATATTTTCTATCGTGTACTTTTGAAATTTTTTTCTGGCGTTTTTGCTTTTTTCCAAGCCATTTTTAAGACAAGATTGCAAAATAGATAAAGATATTTTGCAGATAAGAGATAAAGATATTTTGCAGATAATAGATAAAGATACCGTATCAACATCACAGTCTTTGGAGTTAGAACAACAAGGTTCAAACTAGCTCTTGGAACCAATAAGTTTTGATAGATTATGTTTAAATCACAGTAAAAAGGCAAGCTGAGGGTAGCTGACAGCAGAAACATCTCCAGGGAATCAATATGACTAAATTTAACTATGGCATTATGTCAAAATTTTCAGAAAACTATGCTAGATTTACAAAAATTGTTCTAAATTTCAAAGCTGTTTGAAAATGAGCCTAGCGCTGGCGCAGAATAGCAAGAATGATGTTTTATTCATAGAGTGTCAAAATAAAACTTTATTACCTTAACAAAAACAGCTAACAAAATCAACACTATCAATTAAATATCAAATATGTATTTATCTAGTTTTTCTTTTTTCAAATAGATTTGGCAAGTATTTTTCCATTAAAGTGCTATTACTTGAAATCATCGTTGCCAACTTAAACAGTAACCAATCAAGTACCTTCAAATACTGACGTGATTATGTCAAAATTATGCTAGATTTTGAATTGTGCCAGAATATATGCTAAATGACGATATTTTGACAAAAGTATCCTTAAAGCATATTACCGTAAATCCTCGAATTAGCCCTTATTTATTTTCGATATTTTAGAATGGGGGCTTATTCAGAGGGGAGCTTATACGAGGGGGGGGGGGGCTTATTGTAGACATTAAAATTATTGTAGACATTAAGAAAACGTTATTAAAAGACCTCGTTTATTTAAGTAGGAATTTCTTTATGAGCATTTGATTAATCACTACCAAAAGTATGAATTTGTTGTGGTAATTTGATAAAACACCATGGCTTCCTTGGCCCAACTCATTTTCAGATTCGTGGTGTAGGCCTTGTATGTGATAAATATAACATAAGAATGAATGAAAAAATTGTACTTAGTGTCCTTGGCTCTTAATTAAAAGTAGAGTAGAAGCTTGAAAGTATCAAAATTACCCATGAAAAAGACCACAGGAATCTTCATGGCTTGGATGAGCTTCATGTTGCCGTCTTTTGGGTCTTTTTCTGAGTTGAAACAAAAATGCTTCGGTAAAACCTGAATTTTATAAGATTAATTTAAAGGCTCTTGTGTTGAAAAGAAGATTTGCAGTAGAGCTTTTAAATGCCTTGAAAAAAAACCTTTCTTTAGAATTTTTGAATTTTGATCACAAACCCTCAAATAACACAAATTGAAATATTTAAAAATAATCATAAACAGTTAGATATGTCATAAAATAGGGTAAAAAATTGCGAATCGATTTAATTGAGTCTGTTAACAGATTTGTGTTATTTTGACTCTGTTCAAAGAGTAATTAAATGAAACAAAATTTAAGCGGTTTGCTAGGGAAGGAGCCTGTCCTCAAGAGGCTGTGGCACAGCCAAATTGTAGTAAAGAATTAATCTGCCATTTTGCAGTGACATTTGTAGTGAATTTGTACTCTATCGGAAAATAACAGCTGGATGAATATTGATCTCAACAGATCATAGATATAGAAGAAATGTTGGGCATGGAGGTTCAGGCCCCATTCTGGCAATGGTATTCTGCGAAGATTCATATTATGCCTACACCCCAAAAGTTAATGTTAGACAGTACCGCACTATTTGTTTGCCAACATGCAAAAAAATTTCTTCACAGCTAACTAAAAAGTGGCTGGCAACCGGCATACAGAAATAAGCGGACATGATTTTCAACATAGATTATACACTTAGTGAGCAAAAGTATTCACAGGTTTGACAAATGAGTAATGGCGACCGCGTTGTAAACAAGAAGGCGATCGATATTGAAACCATTTTTGTGAAGCCATTAGGCGTCTTTTTGTAGTTAAAAACCAACCAAATCAATTTTCAAACTGTTGGCAACACTTTTAATTTAGACCTTGTTTACACGAGAGAAAAAGGAACGGTTCCATTTGGACAGAGGAGGAAACTGCATTACTATTGAAAGTCGTCTTGGACTACAAGACAGTCAAATTTGCAGCAGGACAGGACTGGGAAACTGTTCGCTCAAAGTACAAAGACTTGGCGAAACGTTTAGCAGAGGCCTATCCTAACGAAGTTATTCCTAGAAGTTACTCCGAAGAATTTCCTAGAAAATGAAACAAAAGAAAAATTTACAGCAGCTAAAATTGCTTCAAAAATGAAGAAAATGAAAAACAGTTTTAGGATGGCACTGGACAGTGGGAGAAAGAGTGGAGGGACATTAAGATGGAAAAAAAGATGCCACAGTTTTAGTTTTCTTTATTCGATTCATCGTCAACTATCAAACCAGACACAAACAAATTTTATTTTCTTCTTTTTTGGCGCACAACAAAGGGATCATTTATTTTTAGCCTCTATACCAGTGCAAAACAGCCTCGTTCTCTGCCCGTTTACACGATAGCCAAACGGAACGGTTCCAAATGGAACTACTTTTGTAGCGTAGCCAAAAGAGAGCAGATAGCAGGTCCCAAATGGAACGGTTCCAACGAAGCGGCCGCTGCGATTAGGCCCATTATGGCTCCAAAAATTTCTGACCAAAACATTTAGCAGACTCTCCAACAAAAGTGAGAAAAATGAGCAGTTCTAGACACTAAAGCATAAAGTAAGTACCCCCGAGTTCATTGTACTAAGATATTGCGGATTGGTGCAAAGATGAACTTTTTTACTGCAAGTGTTTCACAGGTACTTCATGGCGCAATTATCAGGGCTCCATTTTTGTGCTTTTGCGACATGTCGATGTTGTTTAGGAATAGGCAAAAATCAAGAATATTCTTACACTTACTATTGTCACCATCAAACTTTGATAAATTTTCCAACATATTCCAGTTAAAAGTTATTTTTTAACTTTTATGAAATTTGCTATGGCCACTTGAATTTTGGTTCGATAGAATTTTTTGCTGCGGTGCTGCCCTTTCTATTTCAGCCTGTGCTGAAATACTTTTGCTCACTAAGTGTAATTACAACTAAAAATTCGAGGTAGAAGAAACTTACCAATTTTCATAGCTGGCAAAATGAAGTAAAACGGAAAGAAGGTAAGGAGAGTAATGCTGCCCACAACCAAAAATGGAAGCTCAAATCCACCTGCCTGAAAAAAGATGTGCCAGTTTTAATTGTTAACAAAAATTGTATTGCAAAAAAATTATTATCGTAATTCACAAAGCAAAATTCATTTAAATTCAGCTTGTTAATATCAAGTAAGGCATTTTACCCTTTTTGCTGCTTTAAGATAAAACTTCAAATAATAACGCGTTTCCTTAAAGTACGTATAGATCTGAATGTCTTTAATGCAAATCATCATATTCACTCACACGATATAACAATCCTCCAATTGGGGGACCAGCCATTAAACCAAAGCCAGCAAAGGTCTCTAAAACTCCCTATTAAAAAAATCAGATTTAAAATTTATGAGAAATAGATCAACAGAAGCTACATAAAAATTTGTAAAGTTAGAAACTTTCTGTTTCAGTTTGCTTCAATTACTAGTACATTGTCTCCTTTCAAGCAGAAATGAGTCAGCTAATTTCCTTACCAATCTGCCAAGATTGTTTTGTGCAAAATTTGTTTCGTGCAACTTTTGTCATATGCCAGCAAGCCAGATAGACAGTGAAATTAATAAAACAATCTGCCTAAGTGCCTAACCTTAAATCTATCAAGAAATTTGATTATTTAGTGTATAAAGAGTACTTTTAAATTTTGAAACATTTTTGTAACTTTCCAGGGGTCTAGTAAATGACGACGTCGTCAGTATTTTTGTTAAATGATATTTATAGGTGAAAAATTATCACAAACACAAATAACCTTTATTTTCTCAATGAATTTTAGCTATTTATAGCATACGAAGTACATAAAGTCTTTTCCTGCATAAGGGGATCATAAATGATGACATCATCAGTATTCTAATCTCGAGATATCTAAGACAAAAGTTCATCACAAACAAAAATGTATCTTTTAAGGGGCTTCTCTTTGTTATATGTATGGACTGAAGTTATTAGAAAAAACGAGGGCTTGATGATTGATGACGTTATTCTCAGGGGGTAACAATTCAACGTTCATGTAACAATTCAGGGGGTTACAATCATCTATCTACATGTAAAGTCCGTATAGAACTGTGAGGTTCACACGTCAAGAACATGTTTTCAAGCTTCAAGTGATAACACACAATTCAAGAAGATATCATGTGTTCAAATGGCGCATCTTTCAACGGTAGCCATACGCAATACGATTCATCAGACAATGTAAAAATCAGCTTCCTCCAAATCACTGTAAATATCGATAGTTTCGGAGTCATCAAGTGTTTTCAAATCATCATCGTTTTCGTTTAGATCATTCTCTCTGTCGGCATTGTACCCACTTTCATCTTCAAGCTTTTCCATTCTTTGAGTTGCAGCAGGCTCCTTTAGTAAGAAACTCTTTTATTGCCCCTAGTCAATGTCATTCATGTCGGCATCACTGTCGTCTACAAGATTGGTTGCTCTTCGTTATCTTCTACGTGTGTTAAAGGTAACTGTGATTCGGCGAACCACACTCGTAAAACTGTACCTTCTTTTAGCTCATACTTCCAACCATGTTTTTCAAGAGGTATCTGGAGTCCAGAGTCCAGACAAGTTGTCAACCCTCCTCCGGCCTAGATCATCTTACTATAAGTCTTTCTCTATTGTAATGGGTTTAAAATGGACCTGGTCAGTAAAAATGCTACTCAACTAGTCTCGATCTTTTCCCCTTGCAACTTTGTTTTTCAAATATTTTCTAGAAATTTGTAGCTTGATTTCAATTACAAATATTTGTAAAGACCAATTAAAGTAAAATGCTGTGTCGATTAATAGCAAAGGCGAGTTATTATCCAAATATAGAAGTTAAAAATGGTTAATGCCGAAAATTTACAAAACAAAGCAAAGCAAAACATATTCGTATTAATAAACAGGACGTTTTGAACTTAATTTTGATTTTCTTTTCTTTCTTTATGGTTTTATTTTGAAAACCAAAGACAGTGAAAAACTTCCACAAGTTTGCGCATTTCTGGCCATCTTCATCAATTTTTCTTTTGCGTCTACAACCTTCCTCCGGCTAGTGGCCATTTTACCAGGAGGTTTTTCTGATTCTGCTCATATCAATGCATCTGTAACAGTGACATGCCTGATAATGGACTCTCTTGATGGCTTGTATGACTTCCTCTTTGGAATCTTCGAATCGAACTCTTATTCTAGTAAAACCCCGCCTTTTTGCGCCACTTTTAGTGCTGATAAATCTGGGAACGTAGCAAGAGTTTTTTCATAGTGAAGAGAAGAAAGATACCCTTATAAGGTTGATTTCATATTGTTTTGAAAGTGACGAAGGAGGAAACAAGAGTTCGTCTTTGCAAAAAAATATGGAAACAAAGACTTAAATGTTAATACCACGAGATAAAAGATTTGGTCATACGAGCCATTAAGAGAATCCGTTACCAGGCATTTCACTGGAACAGATGAACGGATAAAGAATCCCAGTGATGCCAGCATTCAAACTTCACAGGACAGATAACAAAAATGTTCAAAGACTTTATGTGCTTCGCATTCTCTAAATAGGCAAAGTTCGTTGAGAAATTTCTGGCTATTTGTGTTTGTGATTATTAACTAGCCCCCTGGAAAGTAATAAAAATGTTTCAAAGTCTAAAAGTACTCTTTATACACTAAATAGTATATACGTCTAGTATATACGTTCCAACACGCTGTCACGTTGCCATGTTGGCACATACAAAGCTTTGGAATGTTTTGGTGCAAAAACTGACACATTTGCAGATTGGCACGTTGCAAGTTTCTGCACGTATAGCCTAGCCCATACAGCAGGTTTTGGCTTTGAAAGACGAAGAATTTTGTCTTTAGCATTCCAAAGACAGAAATCTACAGTATGGACTTGTCAAAGACAAAGATTTTTGTCTTCAAAGACAGTCTTCGAAATTAAACATGTTTAAATTTCGAAGGCGGTTTTTGAAATACAAAAAAAAGTCTGCCATGTGCGGATCCAAAAGACAAAATCTTTGAGTGGCCAATAAGCGACTAAGTTTTGTTCACATGAAGATGTTCTCTTGAAACTTCCCGCCAAGCAATTTCCTGTTTGTGCTTCAAAAACGAAAGTCTGTCATGTACGGAATACGCGAGGACAAAATCTTCGTCTTTCAGAGATGACAAATCTGTCGTGTGCGGATTACTAAAAGACTAAAATCTTCGTCTTTCAAGGAAAAAGGTCTGCCGTTTTCGTTGGGCTTAAGCATGCACCAAAAATGGCGCAAAGACTAAATATTACGTTGGTACGTACCAAGCTTTTGCACGTATCCATACTAGGTTTGCCTTCTCAAAATTATTTTCAAAACTGTACTTAAATCAATACAATGACAAACGTACTTTTAGCTTTATGCATATTTCAGCAAAATGCTTTTAAAGATACGAAAAAGACCTTGCTTTCGTTTTAGACATAAGGAGACATTCAGAAAATTGAAATGCCTCTTTTAACAGATTATGATCTTTTGACGAATTTCTTCACCACGTACTTTCTGTGAAGTTTAATTCTATGTTGGGTTTTATGTTGGATTTCTACAATAATTTACATACAACTGCAGGTGACATGTTGCTTTGAAAAGTATTTGCGACCATCGCTAGTGCGCTAGTAGTGGAAGCACATCCTCCAACAGCAGATAAAGCCCTTATTCCAAAAGTTGCCGCCAAAAAGAGGTCCTTCCTTTGAATTTTGTATGTAAACCTGAAATACAAGCAAATTTTACTAGAAATTTATTTGAACATAACAAGTAAAAGCAAATAGATAAATCTTGGCATGGGTGGTTGTCAAGAGAAGTAGGTCTCCTTCCTCTAAAAAGCATCCTTTAAGTGCCTCTAGCAAAAGGATGCGTTGTCGATATAATGTGCTGCTTTTCACTGATAGATCCATCAAACTTGTTTTTTCAAACTTAATTATCTTATTTTCTGCTCTCAACAGGATGCTCAGCCCTCCCAATGCTCAGCCTAGCCGAACCTTTCTTGCAGCCTCTGAATTGTTCATTCCAGTCCAATCTTTTATGCTACCAAGTCATGTTCCTCTTGGTCTGCCTTTCCCTCCCTTCGCGTTGAATTTCTCATTTGAAAAAAGGACAGGTTCGGCTAGGCTGAGCAGGATGATAGTAAAATATTTTGATTCTTAAACATACGATCAGAAATTTGGTTTCAAAACAGATCAAAATAGAAAATACCTACCCAAAAAGTATCTGTGTTGAGCCTTCAATTAGCAATCCAAGAAGCGCAACAGTTTTTGGACCATCAATTGTTATCTTAATCAAAATATGATAAAAGTTATCAGCACGCTTTAGATTTTGAATATGCCACGACTAGACAAATTATTCAAATTACGTATGAAATATATAATGTTTTGTAAATCACCAAGTCATAAAGCAAGTATACGGTTTTAATTATCTTAGCAGCTGGATAACAACAACGGTTCGGAATGCAGTGGCAAAGCTGGCCTTAAGACAGTGATCATGCTCTTTATGGAAACAGAAGCTGATGGGGCTCTTCAGAATGACCATGACTGATCTCAAGAAGCCAAGGTGGGGAACGGAACTATTCGTATGATAAGAATAAACTGGAAGAATGGGATTTTTAAAATATTTTTTTCAATAAAGAAAGTTTCACTCATTATATCTTTAGCCTAAAAATTTTTGGTGATGCTCAGCATGACCATCATGACCGTTAGCTTCGTCACTGTCGGAATGATGGCCAACATCTTTCAAGGACTAATGCTAAAATTACCTTGGGGACGACATGGCAGCATGGAAGAGATACTCCAGAAAGAGCCTCTGAGAGAATTTGGAGGCACTGGGGCAACACCGAATGATGAGGCCCTGCAAGCAAAGCGAGCAAAAAAGTTTCTCGATAACGCCCTTTAAAGATTCCATAAATATACCATATTGCGTGCGGTACAATATAAAGCTATAATAACGATCAATGTAACTAAGAAATAATTTCAATGCGTTGTTTTGGCCTATAATTTAAAAAGTCTAGAATTTATCAAGTGATTTGGGCTTGATAACGGGTTTTGCTCGAAACGTCGTCATTTATTTAAAAACGTTCTCCTGGTACAATTTACTTACATTGATCGTTATTAATGCTCTTTAAACTATTTCATAATTCGCTAAAAATGTTCTACTTTTTTGAGCATCATTTTGTTTCTTTTAATTACCTCTTTTCTAAAATATAATTTATTCTTTTATGAGGCCCCCTACACCTCGAGATCCTGAGGGAACTTGCCCCCCCCCCCCTTGTGGCTCTTTCTCTCGGTGGCCCTGACTCTAAATAGCAAAGTCAGAGAGAAACATATGGGCAGCATTCTAAGGGAGGCAAACAAAATTCACAAGCCATGTTATACGGAATGAGGGATTAAAACAAATCATATGAAACATGTTGAATAAGACGAAATCCATACGAGACTTCAAAATGCTCCTGAAAGCTTGGACTGGGATACAGGGATACAGGAACACCTATCCGAGACGATTTCGTCACGGATTCACAAAGAGGTCTTTTGTATGGCTGTTTCAGGTAATGGAGGCTTTGATTTTGGCGCAACTACGTTGTCAAATTCCTTATCGCCTTGTTAAATTGTGGCAGCGATCATTGCGCTGAATATCTATTTAGCAGCCATTAATGATGGTTAACACCGTCTTCGCCAGCGTCATTTACAGTCTATTCTCGATGGTAGTACATCAAAACTCCTAAGGATGAAGAAAAATTCTGAAGAAAAGACAACGACAGAAAAAGCTTTTATTGTTTCCCAGTTCAAGCCTTGATCTGTCTTAGCAATTTTGTGGTCTAAAATAACACCGAGAATTAAAGCCAAATCGTCGTCTGTCCAAGTGAAGTTTTTATCGGCTTTTTTCTCCATTTTCGCTCTCAAAAAATTTCGATTGTTGATTTTGGCGGTATCCGTTTGAGTTATATCGCGGTGTTGATTGGCCAAAATTTGATTGACAGTGGCTTAAGCCACTTTAAGATCTATTGAAAGTAACTTACCAAAGCACCAATCAATGGGGAACAGATAACTGATACCAGAGCAAAGGTGGTGAAGACCAGGCTTGAGGTTGTCATACTCACACCTTTAGAATCAGCCTAAAATCATAGAACACAGTTTATTCAAACGACAATGAAACTCCAGTTGGGTTGGCATTTGCTAATTTCAACGTTTAAAATCTCGGCCAATGGCCTTAAAACGTTTAACACATGATTAAAAAAACAGTTGATTCTTCAGTCAAATGATTGTAAAAATATAAACTTTTGTTGTCGCACAGAAAGTCAAACATGAAATGAGAAGACATATGATAGGTGAATGTTGCTAACTAAAGACAATTGTTCTGACATTAGATACCAACTAAGTCAACTTCCTAGCTTTGATTGTGGTGGAAATCTTTTGAGATGAAAATCTATTTAAGGAACCAAGTACAAAAACCAAGTTTTAACTGGCCTTAAGGAATAATAATTATTGATATTGAGAAATAAACAAATAATGAAAAAATTATAATAATTCAACTGCATTTTCTTAAACCACAGATAGAAAGCAGTGCTGATACTTTGAAAAGGAGTCACTTTAAAGAAAGCTAGCAGTAGTAAGGTGCTCAATGAAGTTAAGTTCCTGGCAGCATTTTGCAAGAATAATTCCACACATTTCAATAAAAGCTCTCTGCATCAGAAGTCTCATAACATGGCTTGTCAGCAGAAGGAGAAGCTGCATTTGTCTGTGTAAAAAAACTAGCTATCATTTGCCTCGAATTTTTTATTGCATAGATATTATAGATATTTTGTATGTTTTTCTTAATTGATGTTGGACAAACCTCAAGATTTTGTGGTGGTGCAAACAGTGTATCAACATGCTGTGGCATAAGATGTTGTTATTTCACCTTTTCAGATAAATGTATCCAATCATTCATTATTGTGTGCATCCAAACTGTTCACGTAGTGCCCCCCACCCAACCCCCCCCCCCCCCACCCCCCCCCCCCAGCCCCAGAAAAAAGTAAACAGTACACTTTTCCCGGATCGCTACATCCCCTTTCACCCAACTGCACTTTGTGTAGGCCTACCTTGTTGTTATAGAGCGACGACTGGTTGCTGTTGTTGAAAGTGGGAGGGTAAAATAATTCCCCCACGAATTCCTTCGAATTAGCCAGTCAGAGGTCGCATTTTTCAAAGTTTAAGTAAAGAAACTTCAAGTTTTACTCTGATGACACCATTATTACTCAATCTGTTTTAACAATCCAGTCAGGTTTTTCAGTATGAAAGAAATTTCTGAGGCCTCGGTTGAATTTTCGGAATGAAAATACAAATATTTAGGTTTTAAAGTCTTGAAATATGAAATAACTTTGGTTCCCAATGAAATATGGAATAACACTCTGTTTTTTTTTTCAAACTCGATGAAATTTTAAATCATAAAAATATAGGCCATTGGAAACATTCTTGTAGTTGAACTGCAGCATTTATTTTGATTTCTTCTTGACAAAATCATAAAAGTTGATTTCATTTAGTTTTAGCTTCTTCATTTAGTTGAAAAACTTGGAGAAGACCAGTATACCACTTTCATTAAAGAGAGATTAGATGGAAATTAAAAAATCTTCACGACCCGATAAATCTAAATAAACTTGCCCTCTTTAGTCTTCCACTAATCAGGGAAGTATCCAAGTCAAAGTACAAGTAGCTTCTTTGAAAAGCAATTGCCACTTGTTTTCAAGATTGCAAAGCGCTTGCCTTGGAAAAAGGATAATGATGGAACATGGACGAACATTGTGGGCACTACTTCCAGACGCATCTAAATCCTCTAGGGAGCTTATAAAGTGTGGGTGCACCAAAGCCTGTCGAGGCTTTGGCACAGCTAGAATGTACTGCTCTGTGCAAGTGTAGTGGAAATTTTTGCTCATGACATTTGAAGTAACATCGTGTTTAGTTGTGTGAAATTTTGGTTGCTAGAAGAAATTCAGTTGCGATGACGTCACTGTAACATCTCTATGAACAATTTCAAAGGTTTAAACCAAGCATATGTATTTTAATTAAGAAAAAATAAAAATAATCTGGAAAAATCTTTTATGTTTAGAAAATAAAAAATGATCATAAACAAGCAATGAAATGTCACACGAAAGACACCTCATTATGACGTCATTATGATGTCATTATGACGTCATAGGAAATTATTTCGAACTGAGCCTATATCTTAAAATGATCAGCATATTCTTTTCTGTACTTAGGCCGATTCCCATGCTTTAATGCCAAAACCCACAATTTTGCTAATTGTCAGCTCGAATCTGTCTGACTATGTGACGCGCGACTTTGTGAAATAGAATCAACAAATCGGCGAATGCGACCAGCATGAGTTGAACTACTCGGCGAATGGTCGTATTCGCAGCGAATGAAGAAGTTCACCTTGCGCATGTTCCAATGTGCATTCGATCAGTCGCGCGACCAGAGCGAATCAAATGGAAACCGGCCTTAATGCGCATATGCCATGGCCTTAAAACGGGGGTACTCATTTCACATTCAAGAAGTTGCTGCATCTCATCTCCCCAACAAGGTTGTGTGCCTTAGGTTGCATAATATGAATCAGGTTGAGTCGTTTTACATGTTTCTTTGTCTTGGTTGGCATATTTGAATCCAGTCATTTTTGTTTAAAATCACCCACTGATGATAATGCTATCACTGCTTGACATATACTCTGTGGTTGAAAAGGGCAAGAAAGGGCGTAAAAAAGCATTGTCATAAAAAGCTACAGTTGGATGCGAAGTGATTTTACAACAAGTCATGGAGGCCTTTAGATGTTGGTAAGCCCCGCCCCAGAAACACAAATTACAATTGTCACTGGCGCACGGGTACTTATAATGCTAATCAAGAGATGTTACTTTTTGGCTGCCGTATGTTTACCTAAATAATAATAATAATAATAAATTTGTTTAAAGTTGGCGTACTAAATGAACGTCTAATAGCTATAAAGAAGCTAATTAAGGCCAACTATCTATAAAGAATTAGTATAAAATAAATATATGATACAATGTTGAGAATGTTTAAGGTATAATATTCTAAATAAAACCTAACGCAGCAATAAATATTTTACACCACCTTGGCAAGTGAAGGTTCGTTGAAAGGTTACAGACGGGATCCTCGCCAATAACCTCTAAGTGGCAAATATATGAGAAGCTCACCTCTTGCGGGAAAAATGGAGCAATCATTGAAAAGGAACACAACGATAAAAACCACTGCAAGGAAAGGCAAACCAGAATGGTTGTTTTTTTCCATTTTGCACAAGGAATCTTGTTCTTGTCAACGTTTTCGGTCACTTTCTTCCACGGGCTCTCTTCCATTTCTGACAATTCCTCTCGAGAACCATTTTTAGATGTAGGGATCAATGCTTCACGTTCAAAGTTTTTAGATTTTCTATACTCATTATTCGATTGGCTTAACATGACTGAGTTGTAACTTTAAAGCTAGTAACAAATGTGTCCATTTTCCTGCATGAACGGTGAGAAAACTGCACCAATTTTTGTATATGATAAAGCTCACTTAGAATAACAAAGGAGGGACGCATTTGCGCATGGACCGTAAACCAAATTCAATTCATTTGCTGTAGAACTTTTCAAATCATGGTCAAGTTTGTTGGATTCCTTACAGATAAAGATGATTGCCAAGTAAAAAATGACTCACTCTCAGACTATTCTCTCACTAACTTCTCGTCCCTTTTCATAACGCCATCGCCAAAACTATTCAGCCCCTTCTTCCTATTTAAGATCTTCAGTTATTTATTCCTTTTCTGCAAAAGCTGATAGGATTAGAAAACTATAGCAATATCTGCATGTGGAAAGGCCCACTTGGAAAAACATAAATTGAAGGTCTTTGCTCGAGCGCAATAAGCAAGCCTTAAACTAGCCTTTTTAGGTAACTTTTAGTATGTGCGCATCTTGTTCTACCTTTACTATGTACTTATAGCTATGATTGCAAGCAAACATAGAAGATAAAGTGCAAGATCACTAAGAAGGAACGCTTTAAGATTATTGAGGCCCTGGTGGTCCCTACCAAGTGGATGTACCGACCTGATAATGTGATTACAGTCAACTCTCGTTACTACGGACACCAGTGGGACCAAAATAATGCGTCCGCAATAACGAGAGTCCGCAATAACGAGAGTCCGCAATAACGAGAGTCTGCAATAACGAGAGTCTGCAATAACGAGAGTCCGCAATAACGAGAGTCCGCAATAACGAGAGTCCGCAATAACGAGAGTCTGCAATAACGAGAGTCCGCAATAACGAGGGTCCGCAATAACGAGAGTCCGCAATAACGAGGGTCCGCAATACAGGGATGCGAAAAAAATCACAAAGTTGTAGGTTGAATAGTTATTAATTTTGGCAATTAACAGCAATCATACAATTTATTAACAGATTTGAGGTTCTGTAGTTTATAAGCTCTGTGTTATTTTGTAGTTTTATTGTGGTTTATTGTGTAGTTTTATTACTGATGTGATTGTCTTTTAAGTGCATATGTGCTGCAACTCTGAGTCGGACTCGGACATTTTCATTACACAGAGCAGTACCAAACCTGTAGCAAAGACAGACAGTGACTGCCAGATGACGTCAATTCGAAAGCGTATAACACCATTCACTGAGAGGCAGGACTTGAATTTGATAAAAGGAATAAACAAACATGGTTATGGCAAATGGGGCAAAATACTTTTGGACCCGAGCCCGATAGAAGACACGTTAGAAGACTTTGTTAAGATAGGTTAGAAGTAATCAGTTTGGTTGCATGTATGAAAAGCTGTGTGGAAAAGTTATGTCGTAGAAATCGTAATACATGATGGGAAAAATTTTTGAATATTTCTTTTACAAAATTCTTTTTCTGTTCGATTCGTATATACGCATGTGCCAGACGCCTAACAATAATATAAGTTGATTTTTGACTAGCTCTTCTTCATACAGTTTTGTGGACGTACTGGCCTTATAATCTTGCAGTGATCTTTGCTTATAATCTCGGATGGGTGTGCCATACTATACATTATAAAATGTTGGGGTGGGCTTTCCCTATAAAGCTTGACAAGGCAGTGAGTGGTCTTCCGTCCTCGTAATGATGTTGGATTCTAATCTCGGATTGGTGTGCCATACTATACATTATAAAATGATGGGCTGGGCTTTTCCCCATAAAGTTTGACAGGGCAGTGGCCTTTGATAATGACATCAAGATCACCAGTCCATCAACATGGGAACAAGGTCAATGATATATGTACATTCTATATTAACAG